GGGGGGGGTGTCCGGGACGGTGGTTTGGAGGGACCAAAAAAGCTCCAGACCCAAGGCATGGGACCCAGTTTCTCTAAAAGAGAGTTGAGACCTTACCGAATTTCTCTCCTCTCGTTCAGTCTTCGGAGTAATGGGTCAGCCCAGAACCAAGCTGCCCCGTAAGAGGTCCTCACCTCTGCCAAAAAGCCACAGCCCACAGTTCTGCTGAGTTCCACATGGAGACAGCTTTATTGCTGGAGCCTCCCAGAGCCCCAGAGGCTAGAGGCTTACAGCTTCACAGATCCAGGGGGTTGAGTCCAAACTGGCGGAGCCGCTCCTTGTATTTGGTATGAAGTCTCAGCACGGCCCCATCCCACTGAGGCTTCACTGCTCTCAGCTTGGCCAAGAGTTGGTCCAGGCTGCCCTGCAGACACCAAGCTTCAGGCCCCAGGAAGGGAGAGGGCAGCGTGAGGGGTGCCCCAGGCTAGTCTGTAAGCTCTCCTTTGCCAGTGGCTTCTTCGAGCTTTTACACTTAGTGGGCATGGTTGCAGCCCCTGGTTGTCTGCCCTCAAGACAGAGCAGATTTCCTTGTGGAGATGCTTCTTTTCCTTCCCCCGGTCTGTCACTGTCATACTAGTTGGGGTTTGGGGGGATGGGGGAGTGCTGGGTACTGGGGTGGTTGGGATTCAAACGGGTGCTTACGTGTAAGATTTCCTCGTACTTGGCCTCCATGTCTGCCACGTGTGCCCGAAGCTGAGCCAGAGTCTGGTCCCGCTCTCTGAGGGCCTGCTCTGCCCCTTCCCGTGCGGCCTCAGCCTCCCTCTGGCACGTCTCTGTGGGGCCGGGCAGAAGGAGAAAGAGGATTGGGTAGTGACACTCTACCTGTGAACAGAGTCTCCAAAGGTAACCTAAAAAGCGGAACTTCAGTGGGATCGTTCCAGACTCCCCCAGTATCACCAAGTTTCCCGCAGTCCATATAAAGGGCGGACATATACCTCTAAGGTACAGTAGAGAGAGTAGTGGCATTGGGACAAGAGATGTGGGTCCAGAGTTTGGTTGTCGCTTATTGACTACCTGTGTAACCTCAGGCATGTCTCTCTCTGAGCCCAAGGTTCTTCATCTTTAAAGACAGAACGATCCAAACCTTACAGGCTTACTGTGAGTTGAATGCGAGCGTATAGGGGGAAATGTATAGTATATACAGGAGGTGCTCTATAAATGCTGATCGAATTTATTTTATTTTTTTATTTTTATTTATTTTTTTTTTTAATTTTTTTTTCAACATTTATTTATTTTTTGGGACAGAGAGAGACAGAGCATGAACGGGTGAGGGGCAGAGAGAGAGGGAGACACAGAATCGGAAACAGGCTCCAGGCTCTGAGCCATCAGCCCAGAGCCCGACGCGGGGCTCGAACTCACGGACCGCGAGATCGTGACCTGGCTGAAGTCGGACGCTTAACCGACTGCGCCACCCAGGCGCCCCAAATGCTGATCGAATTTAAATTCCAGAAAAGGCAAGGATGAAGAAGGGCATTCAGGGTCTGCATGGCAGATAAGCAACTCTTGGGTATCTGAGACTATTTTAGGTTAAACTGAGGCTATCTTAGGTTAGGAAAACTTTGAGACCACAATTGTGAAAGATCTTATGTGCACGCTAACATAGCTCAACTGCATCCTGTAACCGAGAGAGAAAGGAAAAACTTCCTGTTTTTTACATTTTTTGCTTATCTGGAAGGTTTATTCCTTTATGTAGCAAGTACTTATTTATGTAGGACTGAGCATGCATGAGGCATTGAACATAGGGACGTAAGTCTAATATCTTTCCTCAGTTTCGTTGTGAAAATCAGCTGAGAGGAAGTATGTTTTGCCCATGACAGACATGGCAGTGTGGGGAGAAAGATCTGGATTTGGAGAGACCATTGAGAGAGGAAGATGGGGTAAGAGACTTGGGTCTTTTTTTAGTTACAACCTAAGAGGTTTTTGCCATCTTGAACCCTCTGCTCCAATCCTCCATGGTGGGAGAGTTGATGGGGAAAAGGATAAGAGAGGGCGCCTGGGTGGCTCAGTCGGTTAAGTGTCCAACTTTGGCTCAGGTCATGATCTTGCGGCCCCTGAGTTCGAGCCCCGCTTCGGGCTCTCTGCTGACAGCTCGGAGCCTGGAGCCTGCTTTGGATTCTGTGTCTCCCTCTCTCTCTACCCCTCCCCCGCTCGCTCTCTGTCTCTTAAAAATGAATAAATGTTAAAAAAAATTTTTTTTTTTTAAAAAGGAAAAGGGTAAGAGAGCCTAGATAGCAGTCTTCTAGAGAAGGACTTTTTTTTTTTTTTTTTAAATGTTTATTTTTGAGAGAGAGCACAAGCAGGGGCAGGGGCAGACGGAGACGGGGACAAAGGATCCAAAGTGGGCTCCATGCTAACAGCAGTGAGCCTGATGCGGGCTCAAACCAACGAACCGTAAGATCATGACCTGAGCCGTCATCAGATGCTCAACAGACTGAGTCGCCCAGGGTTCCCTAGAGAAGGACCATCGTAAGTCCACCCCTGCAGACTTGGACCTTGTCAGTGCCCCTTGGAGAGACAGGGGTTAGGGAGTGGAAGCCTACCCAGCTGCTCCCGAAGGCCCCTCACTTCTTCTTCCAGCGGCCTGCTGCGGGTCTCCATTTCCTTCCGCAGGACTTGGCACTGACGACTCATCTCTGTGGTGGGGGCAGAGGGTCCCAGGTGTGGATGGAGTGGTGGAGAAAGGAAGGGACATTGTGGGCAGGGAGGGCCTTCTTGGTCCAGTGGGACAGGAGCATAAAGGCCGCCTTGGTGGTTCTTGTGATTCTGAGAGGCTGGCCGACCCCGAAAAGCTGGGGAAGAGCTAGGAAACCAAGCCCCTTTCCCCATTCCAACTCAGTACCTAGACTGTAGCCCTTCTCCCCACTCACTCCCATGGGATGAATGAGATAAAGGCCATGACTGCATTTTTTAATCCACAAAGCACATGGCATCAGGCATCCAGGAAGGTTCCTGCCTGGGATCCCGGGAGGCTGTCCTTCGTTTCCCTCAGGACCCTGCCCAATTCATGCTGAGCGGGGAAGGTTAAAGTCAGGCATGGCAGACGGACATCTTTCTTGTTTCACTTCCTTGTATCCTCTGGCCCTCTTGGCTGTCCTTTTCCAGGCCCCTGTCTCCTGCCCACCTGCCTGACCAACCACACACACCTGCATAGACGGCCTTCCCCTCACTTCGGGCCTCTTGCAACTCAGCCTCTAGCACTCGCAGCCTCCACCTCAGCTGGTCTTCAGAAGCCTTGGCTCGGCGGGCCTCGTCCCTCCTCAGAGCTGTGAAAAGTCCCAGAGCCGTCCTCACGACTGGCTGGGGGTCCCACGTGGCCCTGTGGGCTTGATGGACCGTGCCCACCTCTGGGAACCCGGTGGCAGGCTTCCAGCCTTTCATTTTCCCTCTGGGTTGGAAATGGGGTTTGTCCCTGGAATGCCATGAGCTTTTCCTTACTAAGGGAAACCCCCCTCTATGTTCTGCTTATAAAAACTAGCTATCATCACCAACCCTCCCGGCCCAACCCTTCTTCGCAACGTCAGTTCTTCCTCCACCAGAGGATTGGCAGGGGTCACCTTAGCCTCCCGCAAACAGCTCTAAGCCTCCGAGCCTCTGACGATGTGAAATGCCCCCCCCCCCCCAGCCCACCTCTGTTGTCCTGAGCTTCCACTTTCTTACCCAAGTGGTCTTGGAGCAACTCCTTTTCCAGCACTGCCAGCCTGTGTGCGGACTTGGCTTCCACATCTGCCCTGGCAAGTTGGCAAAGCCTCAGCTTGGTCTCCTTGGACCTTTAGGACCTTATCATGATCTCAGCCTCCCTCACTTCTCCCCATCCTCATGCCACGCCCTGAACTTTCTTCCTGCAGGAGATCTGAGGACCTTTCAAGGAGGGATTTCTGATGGCAGGGACTACTGAGTTCCCTGCTGTGTCCTGGCAGCCCAGCCCAGGGTAGGTACTCAGAATATGTGTGATGAATATATAGGGAAGGCACAAAGCCAGAAGGGCAGCACAGAGTGGGTATATGCCGGTTTCCCCAATTTCCCAGCTCCATGGAACGTGGAGGGAAGATATCGGGGGAGAGGGTCCTGAAGGCTCTATCTTGTCATGCAGAGGGCTGAATTCTCTCTGGAGCACCTCTGCTTGGTGTCCAAGCCAGAGAATGGAGAAGCAGGAGGCGCTCACCTCCATCCACCCTGACTCACCAGCACCCACATTCTTTTTCTTCTTCTGTGACCCAGCTTTCATCCCTTTTCCTTCGGTCTTAGATGGCATCTCCTTGCTGTCCTGGGGAAGGAGAGGACTTGTATTTAAGATTGCACATGGGGGGCGCCTGGCTGGCTTGGTCGGTTAAGCGTCTGACTTTGGCTCAGGTCATGACCTTGCCATCCGTGAGTTCGAGCCCCGAGTCGGGCTCTGTGCTGATGGCTCAGAGCCTGGAGCCTGTTTCGGATTCTGTGTCTCCCTCTCTCTCTGCCCCTCCCCCATTCATGCTCTGTCTCTCTCTGTCTCAAAAATGAATAAACGCTAAAAAAAAAAAATTTAAAAAAGACTGCACATGGGGTTGCTTTCCTGACCCCTAGATTGAACCAGGAGTCCCAGGAGAGTTAGAGCTCTAGTCTCCGAGCATGTCTCTTATACCTTCCAGAAGCTTCTGTTCTTGGTCTCCTTGGACCTTTAGGCAAGCCTGGGGTAGGGGGAAGGTAGAGCTGTTTCTTTCTACCAGTAAGGTTCTATGTACAGAAATCATTCCCCTCTACCCTCTTTTGGAGAAAATAAACCTCAGTACTTGTCTCTTCCCTCTTCCAGTCACCCTTACCCTGCCTCGTCCTGTAGGATCCTCTCTTGCTTCTGTTGTATTTCCCTGTAGGGTGACCCACTCATGGAGAGGGGCAGAGAAATGGCCCAACCAGCTAGGAGCCTGAGGAGGAGCCTGGGTTCTGGGAGCCAATCCAGGGTGACAAATTTCCTTTGAGGGCAGGACTGAGAACTGGAAGGTTCGGTTTCGGGAGGCTGAGTGTTGTCCAGGTAACTGGGAAACATGGAGTCAGAGACAGGTGGAATGGGCCAAGTACAAAGCTTAAAATAGCAAGGTCCCAGAGGGTCAATTCTTCAATTCTCTCCTTATCCCTAAGTTCTAAATGTAGTTTGAGGAGAAAGGGCTTTGGAGCCCGGTAACTATGCTTCATTTCCATGTAGCACTGCCTGAGGTTTGGAGACTTACAAGTTATAGATTTACACATCTGATATGGTGCTGTTATGCTGATACAGCGGAAAAGAGCTCATGGTAGCCATTTCGGGCAATTTACATCCCTAGGGCTGATCAGCAAATGACATTATTAGGCTTGGGGAAGGCATTCTGTAGCGTACAAGGGAAAGAAATGCAGGAGAAGGGAGTTGAGAGAGTTTCTCACATCGGAGAAAGGAGACACAGAAGAAAGATAGACCCACGGACTCCAGGCTGCTGACATAGAGGCTACAAATGTAGAAGAAAGGATACTGTTTAGAGACAAGAGCCATGGGTTCTAGTCCCCCCTCCAGTTATGTAAACTTGGCAAGCCATTATATTTTGCTCAGCTTCAGTTTCCTGGTCTTTAAATCTTTGATTCTGTAAATCCTGTAAGGCCTGGGTTTCAACTGGGCATTCACAGGGCTATCTTCCCTTGTGGAGACTTAATTTATTGATCTTCCCCTATTCTCTTATGAGGCTGGTTTTCAGAGACAGGTGCTCAGAAACTACTTTGCTGGGCTCTCTGTGGTATTGAGTTTGTCGGGGCTCCCTCTAGTGGACTTGCTTGACGCCGCCCCCCCCCCCCCCCCCCCCCCCCTCCGCCAGGCTCCTAAATTTTTCTACTTAAATTATTGATGGTGCCTCCCTCTTGGGGATACTTTCTAGCATCTTGCTGGAGTCATGAATGGCTGGAAAAATGACTTTGGGGGAGGGAGTATGGTGAGCGACCTGCCCTTGTGAGGCAGCCTCTACCCTCCTTCCAGCCCTGTTGCTATTCTGGACCCTTGTCATCTGGCTGCCACCTGGATCTCTGGGCACCATACTGGCTAGAATGAAAACAGCAAAAACGTCAGGGATTTCCCCCCTTGTGGATTAAGGAACCTGCAGACTTTTTTTAGCTATTTCTCTCTATCTCTGTCCCCCTCCACACTTCTGTTCAATTGCCTGTTGTCAGTTTGCATTTATTCTTCCCCCAGAACCGTTTCCCCCTGCATTGGAATGCAGTAGAGGTTTTTGCACTGGTCCTCCTCATTTAGAAGCCTCGTTGGGGTCATTTGCCACGGAATGATCAGTTTCTCTGTTATGCTGATGCATTGGATGACATTTTGAGGACAGAGTTTACAGAATACAAACGACATATCACGCCTTGGAAGAGCATTTACTTTTCAAATATGTTCAGTCAACCAACCGACATTCAGGTGCAGAATGAGGATGTGGTCTGGGTGAAGGTGAAATGTGATAAAAGTGCCTCATGTCACATGATGTGATGGTACAAACTGAGCCAGCTCTAGAATAACCAAGAATGACACTGTGATCAACAATCCAATCCCATCTTGAGTACACTTTGAAAATAAGCCAAGTAAAAATTATTAAACAAAAAAAAAGGCCAAGCTTTCCTTCTTTTTTCATTAACGTTAAAATTTTTTTTTTACTGTTTATTTATTTTTGAGAGAGAGATAAAGACACACACGGAGCGTGAGTGGGGGAGGGGCAGAGAGAGAGGGAGACACGGAATCTGAAGCAGGCTCCAGGCTCTGAGCTGTCAGCACAGAGTCCGACAGGGGGCTTGAGCCCGAGAACCGTGAGATCACGATCTGAGCTGAAGTCGGATGCTTAACCGAATGCCCCTGATTTCTTTTTAAAATTCATTTATTTTCTGAGAGAGAGAGAGAGAGAGCGCGAGAGACCGAGAGTGCGAGTGGGAGAGGGGCAGAGAAAGAGGGAGACTCCCAAGCAGGCTCTGGTGCTGCCAGTACAGTGCCCGTGCGGGGGTTCAAAGTCACCAACCCGTGGGATCATGACCTGAGCTGAAGTTGTCGCTCAACTGACGGAGCCACCCAGGTGTCCCACTCATTAACTTCAGTTTAGAAGTGAAAATAGGAACTATCACCGGACAGAACTCTGTCCATCCGGGAGTGTTTAAGGGATATAGAGGAGAGAACTGTCACTCTGCTTTATTCAAATATGCGAGGTAGGTCATTTGTATATTTAAAGAAATATGTCTTCTTCAGCAGAAACAAAGTACAAACTATACAAGTTGTACAAACAATACAATTTGATGATAGAGGGGGGAAATACCCTGTGTACCTACACTGTGTTAGGTACTGTGGAAGACCAAAGTCAACAAGACAGTATGGCATGAATTAATGTACGGTAGCTGTAAGAATAAATGGTTATGGAAATTTAGAGGAGGAAAGGGTTATTTCTAGCTGGAATGTCTGGTTATTTCTAGCTGAATTCTGAAGAATGGATTGAACTTCAGTAGCACACTTTGGGCAGAGGGAATGCTCTGAGCAATGTGGATGAAAAAAAAAAAAAAAGAATTGTGGTATTTTGTGATTTGGTCAGTCACCCAGCATAGTATGTGCATTGATATTATAAAACTGCAAGGTAGTTTGGAGTTAGATCATGACTGTTAACTTCATTCAGGAGACCATTAGTAGTGTTTAAAGGTTTCTTTCTTTTCTTTTCTAAAAAAAATTTTAATGTTTATTTTTGAGAGAAAGAGAGAGAGGGAGACACGGAATCTGAAGCAGGCTCCAGGCTCTGAGCTGTCAGCACAGGGCCCGACGCGGAGCCCAAACCTACGGGCCATGAGATCATGACCTGAGCTGAAGTCAGACACACTTAATCGACTGAGCCACCTAGGCGCCCCTTAAAGTTTTTTTTCTGATGCTGTCAGAACTATAGTTCAGGAAGACTGGTCTGGTGGCAGAAAGGATTGGAGGTGGCAGGGAAACCAGTGAGGAAAAGGTTTTAATAGATCAGGGGAGAGAAAGGGAGGGCCTGCAGCTAGGGTGGTAGATGGGAAGTTTTGACAATTATCTAAGAGCCGTGCTTAGATTTTCCTTTGGGAGATTTCTTCTCTTTCTAATTCTACTGATAGGAAACGATAATGCTGACTCCTTAATCAATCTTAGATAAAGGCCACTGAATTGCAGGATAAGGAGGTCTGACAGATAGGTCTTTGAGTCCAGAGATATTTCCCCCCCTTACAGGGGCACACAATAAACTTAATTCCTTAATCAGTCAAGGGCTTTGTGGAGGACCCAGGTGGGAGGATCTAAGACTGAACTGAGTACTTACGGACACACTAGAGCCTGCAAGCTCCCAAAGAAGAGGCTCAGAATTAACAAATTAGGTCAGGGCACTTCCTTCTTCAGGAAGAAAGTTCCCTTTTTTCATAGTTTTTCCAATGAAGCTTTTAGATTAGAGAAGTGGAAATGACTGGGAACTGCTTTTGTTTCATGAGAGGAGTACTCCTCGGGCTAGGGCTCGCAGCTGTCTTTCTGTGGTCAAGGCCTGGTGCTGGGGATGCTAACCTGCGGTGCAATGCGCTGAGCCCGGGGAATCTTAAGCACATACCCAATTCCCAGAAAAGGAACTAGTGTTCAGAAGGCAAAAAAGGGGGAAATGTTTTGTTTTCAGAAGGTCAAAGGGCCTGGAAGAAGAGCTTGCGGCCTAAGTGTCTTAAGCCTTTCTGGTGTGTTCGTAATCAGGCTGCAACAGTCTGCAGCATTCGCATTCCTGTCCCTCGGTGCCGACTTAATGAGTTTAAAACACCAAAGGGGTGGGGAAATAACTTCCGTTTTTCTCCCACAATGTTCAGAAGCAAATGACTTTAAGCTCAATTTCCTTATTCACCAGGTATGTGGCGGAAGACTTGACGTTAAGTTTCTTTCTACGGCTAGCTGTCCTAATTTAAATACCCCAACCACCCCTCAAAGAGAGCCAACCTAACAACCCACAAGGAACATGGAGGGCTCGGCTTCTGTCTAACGCGCAGACTCCACCCCAGACCCCGCCCCTTCCTTTCCCGGATTCTCCAGCAGAGGGCGCAGGCGCAAAGGTTCTGTCTGGGCCCGCCCCCGGGGGCAGGGGAGGGGTAGGCGGCGCGGAAACTTGGCCTCGGCTTTCCGGGAGCTGTGGCTCGGGAGGGGGTGGCGCAGGAAGGGTCGCTACCCAGTCGGGACCGGGCCGCCGGCTTCCCGGGGCGCCGTGCGCTCCTCCCGTCCCCGGGCTTGCGCTCTCGGAAGGGGCGCGCCCGCGCGAACCTCGCTCCCGTCACCGCCCACTCCTCCTCCCCGCGGCCGCCCCTCCCTCCGCCCGGACAGCCGGCGGCGGCTGCGGCGGCGGCGGCCGGGAGAGGCCCCTCCTTCACGCCCTCCTTCTTTCCCTCGCTCGCAGCGGAGCGGAGCCGGCGGACGCGGCTGGGCCCCCAACCCTCCCCGGGCCATGGCCGGCAACGTGAAAAAGAGCTCTGGGGCCGGGGGCGGCGGCAGCTCCGGGGGCTCGGGCTCGGGCGGCCTGATCGGGCTCATGAAGGACGCCTTCCAGCCGCACCACCACCACCACCACCACCTCAGCCCCCACCCGCCCGGCACCGTGGACAAGAAGATGGTGGAGAAGTGCTGGAAGCTCATGGACAAGGTGAAAGGCCTGCCCAGGACCCGCGGGAGCAGGGGTGGGCGTGGGCGGAGGGGGCCGAGGGAGGGGAAGGAAGGGACAGAGGAAGCTGGGGGAGGGGACGGGTCATGCGGGGCTGGGGAGGCAAGGAGCTGGGGTGACCCGGCCGAAGGGTGGGGGACGCGGGGGTGAGGAAGAGACCGGGAAGGTGGGGGTCGGCGGTGGGGGAAGGGCTGCGGTTGGGAGTTGGGGAACGTTGAGATAGTGTTTGGGGGTGGCGAGACAAAGATGGGTTGGGGGCTGGGGTGAAGGTTAACTGGGAAGCCACCAGGGCGGAAGTATAATGGGGGGGTGCAGAGTTTGGGGCTCTGCAGGGTCTGGGGATGTGGGTCACGGAATTGGCCCCAGGAGGTAGGAGGGAGGGGGAGGGCGAAGAAGAGCGTGCAATTTACCGGCTGGGGCTGTTAGCTGGATGAGCAGTCGAGCTCTGAGTCGGGAATTAACGTTTATGGGCTCTGGTTGAGAGACCTGGGGTCAGGACAACTCCGTAGGCAAACTGCGCTCGGGGAGAGCCCGTAGTTTTTTTCTCATTAAGATATTAACACCAAGGTAAAAGAAATCAGGATGTTTAAATGGCCAAGGAAGTAACTTTCCTCCACCTCTAGCGCTGGGGCAAATTTTTATTCTCCAAAACATTGGATGTGATCCATTGCTGGTGCCGAGATTAAACCACAAGTTCTGGTTAGAAACATTATCTTTTGAAAGATGTATTAACTGAGCGTGCTAAGCAGCAGATTCTGACTTCTTCCAGATTCTGACTGCTTCCAGAACTTCCTCCTCATGCTGCTTTTAGCTGGGTTCTACTTTTTTCGTGGCCGACCTGACTCCGTGTTACAGGACCTGACTTTTAAGCTTGTTCAATGAGCTTCTTTGCTTACCTTTTTTAAAGCAAGTTTGAAAGATATCGCTTTTATATTTAGCCATTAAGTGTGGCATTTGGGAGAAGTTCACCTCATTGTAGTGTCTATAATATAGTAGTCCTTAAAAGTGTTTAAGCATTTTGAGAGCACCCAATATAGTGTTTTCTTAGTTCATTAATGGACATTAATTAATAACTTATTTTTGGAAAATTTCATATTGTCAGCGAAGTATCTGGCATATTGTAAGAGAATGGTGTTATTTCCTCCAGAGGAAAATTGGTTTTCTCTGGTTCCTCTCTAGGTCTAGGTTCCTCTTCTGTAAAGTTCTTCATGGATTGTTTTGGACTAAAACAGCTAATAAGAATGATTATGAAACACTTGGCAAATATAAACGTGCTGTATAAATGCTTAATAAGTCCCGTGCGTGCATTAACACTCCTGAAGTGCATACAAGTGGTTTCAGAGCCACTTTTTCAGGGCTGGTGTTTCTCATGTTAAATAATTGGTATTGTAGTTAATGATACAAGTTTTTTCATATTTATTATGTTGGTGGTGTAGTTTTAATTTCATTATTTAGAAATTGTAATAAAACCATTATAGAAAGTTAGGCATGTAAAGGAAACTTTAAATTCATTGACACCTTTAAAAACGTTTTTTTTCTTAAGTGTTTACTTATTTTTGAGAGAGACAGAATGCAAGTGGGAGAGGGGCAGAGAGCAAGGGAGACAGAATCTGAAGCAGGCTGCAGGCTCTGAGCTGTCAGCACAGAGCCCTATGCGGGGCACGAACTCAAACCACAAGATATTGAGATCCGTGACCTGAGCCGAAGTCGGAAGTTGGACCCTCAACCGACTGAGCCACCCAGGTGCCCCTCATTGACACCTTTTTAAAAAAATACCAAATGTATTCAAGATCTGAAGTTTGTAGGTTTGCATTTTAGGGATTTACAGCTGAGGACTGAAAAGGTTCCCCTGGATTTAAAAAAAAAATTGTATGTTTAATTAGTTTCTCGTGTAAGATACGTGTATGCAATATACCCAAACTTGTATGGATTAGAGAACTTTCCTTAAAAATAATAAACTTTTCCTCAAACTTTTGAATCTCTATAAGGTAGTTCAAATAAGATCCTTTTTAAACTTTTTTCCTTCATTTCTTTAAAGTATGTGTATAGCGATGTGATTTTTTTCTGCAGAATGTTTAGTTGTATGGGGAGAATAGGACTCGTTTTGAGTGCTTTTCAGGTTTTGATAGCTTCAAGGGAAGTAGGTGCCCAGCTTTTCCTTTCTAGTGTTGGGAGAGAGGGATGTTTTATTCTTGTGTTGCTTGTCTTAGAAGGTGATTTTTAGTAATGTCTGTGCCCCGTATCACAAATTACTAGTCTTGTTTCTGGTGTATTCGGCTGATAGGTTCATATTGCTCTCCAGATTTCCTGAGTACTTTCATAAGTATTGGATTGAACTGTTTCTTTTATGCTTGCATATTTTTTTTCCACATTTTTATTTGTTAGAGCCTTAAATAAATGTCACTAACCCTTCTTCATGTGGTATGATGTAAGTGGTAAAGAACTTACTGTCAAATCCACAATTGCCCCACACATTTATTGAATTCGGTTCTGAGTCTCTCTCTCATACCTGTTCTATCCTTGTTGTTGAAGCTAGGTGAATATTATTCTAGCTTATCAATGATCAGTGTCTTGACTTCGTGCTGGGAACTGTTAGTCTCTTCCCCTCCCCCAGTATTGAATGTGTGCAGATGGAGAAGTTGGCATAAGTCATGGGTTCTGGTCAACATAGGCTCAATTTACTAATCCATTGTGGAACTTAAGCTCATTGTCGGAAAAATCCTTGTGCTGGGACACTTGTTATTAAACAAAAAACATGGTCAACCTCTATTTTGCCAGCTGAGTATATTGTAATAAATACTTGTGTGTGAAGAAAGTGGCTGGGAAGAGAGGATTGGGCAGGGGAGTGGAGAGAAAAATCCTATAAATTGCCTTAAATGTAAACTTAGAAGTAGTAAGGTATCTAGTGAGACACAAAATTCCATTATGAAGTAGAGCAGGAGTTGGCAATCTGTTTTTGTCAAGGGACAGTAAATATTTTAGGCTTTGCTGGACACATACTTAGTCTTGTATTCTTTGTTACTGTTTTACAACTCTTTAAAAAAGTAAAAGCCATTCCTAGCTTGCAGGTGGACAAAAAGAAAGGGCTGGAGATTGTAGTTTGCCCCTGAAGCAGAGCAACATACTGGGTATATTTTAGGTCTATGTTATGTTTTTATTTTGAATTAGCTTATATCATTAAAACATTAAGGTGTTGATTTTTTTTAATGAGATATAATTTATAAGTGAATTTATAGTTCCCTTATGATTTTAAGGGAAAAAGCTTCCCTTTAAAGCATGAGTTTTAAAAAAGTATTTTCAAAAGGTGATCCTTCTGCTACCTGCCTTCTTCTGTTTGTCCCACCTCTGTCCCACCACCCCCCAAAAAATACCTTGAGTAACTTCCTGTATTTGGGAAGTAAGATGCACTAATTAGAATTTATGATGCAGTGTATCTCATTGGACTACATCCTCCTTTCCTTCCTTCTTCCTTCCTTTGCACACTAAGTCCCAGGCATACTGCTAGGTGTAAATTCTTACACTCCAGGTTACATTACAGTGATGAGTGACTACGTAAGTATGTAAACAGTGATAGGAGATCTCATAAGTTTAAACTTATTTTTTCTGTACATATTACTTCTGTACTCATCTTAATCTCTTGAGATTGTAAATTCTGTGAGGACAGCACAGCGACTATAATCTGCTTATCTCCTGCAGTGTCCGGTCATGAGGACTTATACAATAGTAAGAGCTTTGTAAATATTTAAATTGCTTTGTGTGTTCTTTTTTTTTTTTTTTTTTAATTTTTTTTTTTTTTCAACGTTTATTTATTTTTGGGACAGAGAGAGACAGAGCATGAACGGGGGAGGGGCAGAGAGAGAGGGAGACACAGAATCGGAAACAGGCTCCAGGCTCTGAGCCATCAGCCCAGAGCCTGACGCGGGGCTCGAACTCACGCACCGCGAGATCGTGACCTGGCTGAAGTCGGACGCTTAACCGACTGCGCCACCCAGGCGCCCCTGCTTTGTGTGTTCTGAAGGAATAACTGAAAAGAAAACGTGTGGGGGTGGGAATAAATTTTAATTACATTAAACTTATTTCTTGCAGTAGCCCTTTGGCGGTATCATCTCTTCTATAGACGGAGACACTTGGGCTCAGAGATGTTATGTAATTTAATTTAGTTAATGGTGGAGCCTGACTTGGAATCTAGGATAACCCACCTCCTTAGGCTTGGTTATTTCCTCCATACAGTACCTTCTCAGGTGTACCACAAAGCGTCAGTAACAGAAACCATTCAGCAAGTGACCTGTGTGGTTACAATAGTCCTCACGCACACACGTTCATTAACGCACCCAAGCACAGTAGACATTCTCTTGAATAATAAGGTAGCATTTAATACCATCCAGTGAAATGTCTGTTATCTGCTTTCAAGTTCAGTGTTTGCATTTCTTCAAATTAATGTCTACTGGTTACTTTGCATGGTGGTCACAGAGGCTTGTACACTTCATTTTCCTCTTCTACTTAATTTGTGTTCTCTGCGGTAGTATTTATCACTTTTTCATCCGTTTCTCCCTTCGCTAGAGCTCTTCAGGACCCAGGCTCTGTCTTAATATCAGTTCCTGGGCCTAACATGTGGTACTTGCTGAATGAAGTGCAGACATTTAACAAAATAAAATGAGATCAAAACATAGTCCCTCCTCATTTTTTGTATGATTGATTAGGGGGGAATCAGGTAGGGAATCCCCCCTTTTTTTTAATGTTTATTTATTTTGAGAGAGAGAAAGCAGAAGTGGGGAAGGGCAGAGGGAGAGAGAGAATCCCAAGCAGGCTCTGTGTTGTCAGTGAGGAGCCAGACTCGGGGCTCCATGTCACAAAGTGTGAGATCGTGACCTGAGCCGAGATCAAGAGTTGGAAGCTTAACTGACTGAGCTACCCAGGAGCCCTAGGAATCTTCTTGAGTGCTGAATTAAAGTATCATTTACTTAAAGTAGTTTTACCTTTTT